ATAGTCCACACACCTCAGGGTAAGGTGTGAGGCTAACTTCCAGAATTGTGAATTCCATTTGGTGCAATCCATGAATATTGTTATGGAGTTTCACTCATGTCCTCTGCATGTATGTATGAGGTGCAAGGTTCATCCTAGGTGTAAGCACTACCTCTCAATCCTAGAGAGTGGTTTGACAGGCTTAGTGATGTGGGGGAATCGATAGTTACATATCGGAACATTATTTTGGACAATATTATATTGATCCTTTGACTCCAAGTATTGAGATATATATATATAAAACATGTTGTTGCTAGGTAGTGTTAGCTAGAGCTAGTCGGCTGTACCTGCATCAAAACTCTGGTATTTTTCATCCTACAGCTTGTTCTCCATCTTCTTTTTAAATAGTGAGGCAACATGTTTTCAGCACTTATTTCCATGACTGATCAAAACTCATTTTCTAATGCTCGCTCGTCTCTCTGCAGCATTATCGAATTGCAATACATATCATATCGGCACCTAAGTATCATGATCATTTTGTGAGGTCCCTGGCAACTCCCAGCGTTAGACAGGCTGTGAAGACGGTAGCTTCTTCACAATTGTTCAGATAAGCTGAAGAAATCTATTGACAGCGGTTATCATAATAGTCCCTCCTAAATAAGACACGATCCTTGATTTCGTCAGTGTTTTTCCTCACCTCTCTCCCCTTCTCTGTGCTGATTCCCCAGAGCCTTGTGGGTCTGCTACTGGAGCAGAACTACTTTTCTGAACAGGGACAGCTGTTCTGTAACCTACTAAAAATAACCCACGATCTGTTGTCCAAGCACAACAAACACTGCTGCAACCACTGTGGGGCAACTGTCTGAGGCAAAATGGCAAACGAAATGAGAGATCCACAAGCATAATGTGAGGTAGACTATATATACACACAAAGGTATGTGGACACCCCTTCAAATTAGTGGATTCGGCTATTTCAGCCACATGTATAAAATCGAGCAAACAGCCATACAATCTCCATGGAAAAACATTGGCAGTAAAATGGCTCAGTGACTTTCAAATGTGGCACCATCATAGGATGCCACCTTTCCAACAAGTCAGTTCGTCAACTTTCTGCCCTGCTAGAGCTTCCCCGTTCAACTGTAAGTGCTGTTATTGTGAAGTGAAAACGTCTAGGAGCAACAATGACTCAGCAGCAAAGTGGTAGGCCACACAAGCTCACAGAACAGGACCGCCGAGTGCAGAAGTGCGTAGCTCATGATTTTAGAATGAGATGTTCGACAAGCAGGTGTCCACATACCTTTGGTCATGTAGTGTATCTTGTTCTGATAAAGGGACTGGGACATTCAAATCGACCAATGAGATCTAGAATAAGACTAGCTCGTGGATCAGTTGATGAAAATTAGAACGGTCTGGCCAGGCAGACCACTGATCTGTGGGTGGCATCTATAAAAACCTGGTATGATGAGGAGGCCGGTGGTCAGAAACACACAACGCCCAGGGTTGTGACTTTCAGACCAACACAGTACAGGGCAGAGGGAAAAAAGCTCTCAAGCCTGTCTGTATGGACACCAGTCCATTCATGAGGGAGCAGAAGGCCCCCTGGAGAGACCACTCCATCTTCTGTCTGTCTGTCTGTGACATTAGCATGAGTTCTCTATATCATGAGTTCTCTATATCATGCGCTCTCTATATCATGCTCTCTCTATATCATGCTCTCTCTCTCTCTCTCAAACAGCCACCCACGCAGGGATTACAGCTGTGCGCTGTTACTCCATAATCGGGCTGCCCTTTAATCTTTCCTCTCTTCCTTTTCAAAACCCTAAAAACGCTGTGGCTGGACTAATGTGTCTGACATCAATCCCACTCCCCCTGTGGCAGCCAGTGGTACCCTGTACAGTACGGTGGCCTAGGCAGACCAAATATGCACCCAACTGAGGAATTATAGGTTACATTAGTGCTTAGCACAAAACCACAACATACATATTCCACACACTATTGATTTTTTAAGATTATTAAGTAAGGTACACAGAGCAGTTACCACAGTAAAATCCCTTAGGGGAAACAGATCATACCATAGCATGGGATTAGAGCCCCTTATCAATGACACCTATTGAGCTGGGAGCTATAAATGCCTAGTCAAGGTACAAATGGAGGATTAGCTGACAATCTGTTGCCAGGAGAGACTACTTGATTTTGAGGTTGAGAAGACGTGATCGTGAGGAGAGAAATGTGGTTGATGAGGACAGGAGAGAATGGCCATTAACAGATAGAATGTAATGACCACTGAAACACAGAGAACCTCCTGAACATAGTTCAAAGACCAGCTTTGAGCAATTCCATTGGTATGCAACAACTGAACAGCAACTAATGCTAACATAACATATTGAATGCAATGTGATTGCTAATGCCTCCACCCTCTTAGAGGATCAAAACTAAGTCAAACTAATTGCATAACCGAAACAAAAATGTAATTAGGAATTCTAATTATGGTTTGCTTTTTGTAATGCCTTTTTCAAACACTCAAAGAATGGGATGGCATAATATATGAATAGGCTCATTTGAATTCTTTAGCTAAACCAAAAACAAAATAATTAAGCATTTCCCAATACCGTATTGTCAGCCTTTCTGATAACTGTTCCAATGTTTTCCAAAGTCTGATTAAGCATATTATAATAGGAGTCAATACTAAAGCACCCTCTGACTCACTCAGTTCAAAAAGAGACTGGCAGTATAGTGATAAAGCAGATCACTTAGCTTGGAGCTTGAAGCCTTCCAGTGAAATGATATGGATGTTCTAAAGAAAAGGAAAATACTGGGCTGCATAATGACTCCAGATGGCAAAGACTCTAGATGCTGAGGACATTGTGCCTAGATAGACCCATCATAAGGACGAAGGGCACCTTGGTCTTTGGGGTGGGGCAGGGACGTGTCAGAGGGCATACCAAGCAGGCAGAGGAGAGGTTATTCCATTGGGCAGAACAGAGCGGTGTATGGAGAGTAGCTGGGCTTAAAAGGAATAGTCAATCAATTATTTAAAGTGACCATGGGGAGTGGTGGGCAGTGGCTAAGGGGCCAGAGCGTTTTACCCTGGCACGTCAAAGACAAACAGGGGGCTGAGGAGCAGGAAGACACTCCACTCCCTGTCTGCTAACAGAAGCTGATGAATGTTTTATCAAAGGCCAATTCTTTATTTAAGGACGAGTCCACCACGGGAAGAAATCTAATAAGGGTTCATGGAGAAGAACATTTTTGAAAAATACAACTAAGCCCCTAGAAGTCCAAATGCCTGTAAGCAGAAGAGACGAAAACTAATAACAGGAGACAACTTCTTCAAGAAACACCAGAGAACAGTTGACTTTCTGTCAGATTACGGTCGATTTTTCAAAACATATTACCAAGCAGACATCATCTCAACATCTACTGTAATAAGAAGCAATGAGTTAGATAAATGATACACGTTGCCTCTGATTGAGAACCACACTGGCCAACATAGAACTACAAAACTAGAACGAAAAACAAATGAAAACTCACACCCTGGCTCAACATACTAGAGTCCCCAGAGCCAGGGCGTGACAGTACCCCCCCCCCCCCCAAAGGCGCGGACTCCGGCCGCGCCAACCAAACACCACAGGGGAGGGACCGGGTGGGCACTCCGCCTTGGCGGCGGATCCGGCTCCGGGCATGATTCCCACTCCCTCTCCAACCCCCCAAAGTACCCCTGGTCCGGTCTGACCCTGCTGGCTGGAGCTGGACTGAACACCGGTGGAGCGGATTGCTCTAGCTCCGGCGTGGAGCAGCTGACCGGTGCCGGACCAGGCACCGGTGGAACAGGCACGGGCTGTGCCGGACTGACGACGCACACCACTGGCTTGGTGTGGGGAGCAGGAACAGGCCGAACCTGGCTGACGATGCGCACCATAGGCTTGGTGCGTGGAGCAGGAACAGGCCGGGCCGGGATGACGATGCGCACCATAGGCTTGGTGCGTGGAGCAGGAACAGGCCGGGCCGGGCTGACGACGCGCACCACAGGCTCGATGCGAGGAACAGGAACAGGCCGGACCGTACTGGGGACACACACCACTGGCCCTACGCAGGGATCAGGAACGGGCCGGACCGGACTGGTAACACACCCCAGTACCTCTCGCCGTGCCTCTACACTTTCCCTCTCCTCTGTGACCAGTGGCCCCCTTAACCTGGCGGCCTCCTCTGCAAACCCGCTGGACCGCTCTATCGCAGCCTCCTGCTGCCCCGTCGTCCACGGCGTGAGCCCCCCCCTAAAAATGTTCTGGGGGTCTCTCCTCCCCGTGGGCCAGGCCCAGTCGAGGTTGATGTCCTTTAGCGATACCTCTGACGCTGGCTCCTGGACACGCTGCTTGGTCCAGTGTTGGTGGGATCTTCTGTCACGATCGTCGGATACAGAGGACCAAGGCGCAGCGTGGATGGTGAACATATTTATTAAATAATGATTACACGAACAAAACAACAAATCGATACGTGACGTCCAAAGGTGCAAAACACAAACCTACACAGGAACAAGATCCCACAAACACTGTGGGAAAACTGGCTGCTTAAGTATGGTTCCCAATCAGAGACAACAAGCAACAGCTGATACACGTTGCCTCTGATTGAGAACCACACTGGCCAACATAGAACTACAAAACTAGAACGAAAAACAAATGAAAACTCACACCCTGGCTCAACATACTAGAGTCCCCAGAGCCAGGGCGTGACTTGAACAGAGGTGAAATGTCCCTTCCCCTTTAAAACCTCTCACACTGTAAATAAAAGGAAATAACACAGGAGGAGATCAGCACATCGATCACTGTCGGCCGGCAAAGTTAAAGCAAAAGTGGAAATCGCAGGAGTTTCACATTCTTAAGACTTCAAGGGCACACACACTTGCTCTGGGCTGCGCGAGGGGAGGCGTCAGGGGAAGCGTGAGAGGGAGACCGAGCGGGAAGGGGACTCTCTGGGCTGAGGCTGACACTAACGCAGACAGGGGTTGGCACATTGGGACTCAGTCACGATGGCAGGGGCTGCTGACAGAGAGAGGTGTGGTACACCATGAGTCCTCCAGGGGCCTTTGGGACGGGGGTAGAGGGACAGGGGTGAGGAACAGGGGTGCAGTATGTACTCACCAGAAACACCTTGTAGGCGTCTTTCCTGGTGACAGGGCCCCAGCACAAGTCAGTGTCGTTGTATTTCACACTGCCAGCACTGCATGAATGGTTACCACTACAGAGAGAACAGACACAGACTGGTGATCATTACAGATCCCTTCTTGATCAGATCAAATCAGTCCAAGAATGACATATGACAGGAAAGACTAGTTTATCATACTGCAAAAGAACATGAACCAATGATAAAAGATTCAACATGACAGGGTAGAATTACTCAAACTTTGCAGACTTGTCAGTTGCTACTGCCTCTGAGCGGTTAGATTATCAGTGAGGTCAGTTCCTACTGTCTCGAAGCTGTTAGATTATCAGAAGGTCAGTTCCTACTATTTACATTTACATTTTTAGTCATTTAGCAGACGCTCTTATCCAGAGCGACTTACATGAGCAATTAGGGTTAAGTGCCTTGCTTAAGGGCACATCGAACTATCTTGAAGCTGTTAGATTATCAGGAGGTCAGTTCCTACTGTCTCGAAGCAGTTAGATTATCAGGAGGTCAGTTCCTACTGTCTCGAAGCTGTTAGATTATCAGTAAGAAAAGCATTAGTAAAAGTTATATCACTGCACAAGACTTTAATGAGTTGAAGTGACGATCCGGTCTTCCTGGTGGAAAATTACACATTATCATTCTGAGGCAATCACAAAACCCTTTCAGTGCTGCCGACAAGGTGTGGCAGACTGAGCATCAATTATGGGACATAATCGTTAGAATCTGCCTCTGCCACTGAGAAGTCTGCTGCAGTAAGGCTTTACAAAGAGATACCGCGCTGCGATCTCAATCGCCTGGCTCTCCACAGTGGCAGAGCCAGTGGAGCAGGGAGCTCCAGTCTGTGCCATAGTGCCATTCCTTTTCAAGTGTCTGTTCCTCCTCACATTTTAGCTAGAAAGTTACCAACAGGCTTTTCGACCACGTTGAGTCAGAGAGTGACATAAACATATGTTTTTTATGCTATTAGGGTGGTATTTCAACAGAACTTCCTCTAATGTGTTAAGTGGTTAAATTGTAATCTTGCATTGAAATGTATTCACTCACCTTCACCTTTAAAAGCTAAGTATCTCTATAAATGTTTAAGGATCTCATCCTCACCACATTATGTTCATAAGATACCCCTATATGGCACTCCCAGAGCTCACTGAACCCTTAAAAAGTCTGTAAAGTCATTCGGACAAAATGGGAGAGCACTTTAGTTTTTTGGGTGGGGGTCTTTGGTTGAAATTGTACTTTTTGGTACACCATGAGAAAGTTAATAATCTTTCTTTCATAAAGCTACACCGAATTGAATTGTGATCCTGACGGTTATGGTGGTCTCACCAGGACAATAGCTTCTCTAGAGAAGAGCCTCCCTTAGATCTGCAGGCTAAGTCATACTGTCTGAGACTGGAACAATATGGAATATGTGATGTTCACCCAGCCCACCGGGCCAGTGGAGGGGACTTGTAATAAAAACCTGCCTGGGAGCCAGTCAACAAAAAACAAATGCCAAGAGCACTGGTGGGAGGTCAGGAAGGCAAAAGGCCCGCTTATCAGAAAGTTTTACTGAGACAGAAGGTGAGGGAACAGCCAAAGTGCAGGGACAAAAATGGAACTGAGAGGGATATGCTTTGTCCTGCCAAAAGTAAATGCTCCAAGTACTTAGGAGAGCGAGCTGCTCCCACAGTAGTCATAAAGTTGCTTGAAATAATACCCCCAAATAAGAAATCCATGAATGTAATGAATAGGAATGAATCAGCAGCGGGCTGGCTGGCCGGTCTTACCAGGCTACTTCCATTAGTGATATGGGTACAGCAGCAGCATAGATAGCCAGGTCTCCATACAGGTAGACTACCATGCAGATGTAGAACATGTTGACACCAACTGAAAGACAAAACCAAAGGGGTAAGATTAGAAGATTATACCTGATCTATACATAAACATCATACATTTAAATTATATATTTCTAGTGTATATGATTGTGTTATCAATTCATATCTCAGAGAATCTGCCTCCCCACATGCAGGGATAGCTTAGCTAACACATTCCTCATCTTTAACAGCCGTCAGATGCCTGATTGTGATATATGGTCAATGCAACTTGTGTCAAACTTCAACAGCTAAACGTGCAGTATCCATCAGAGGCAATCTCCTCCGTCTCTACACCTCCACTCCTCCCTCCATCCCCTGCTTCTCCCTCCGGGATGGCAGCCACAACTGCAGCAGCACATTTCGCCGCTCCTCCGGAAGAATATTAATCACACTAATTAAGAAACTAATCACTTCATGATGAAAATTCTCCTCGTTACCCCCCCACTCCTCCCACGTCCGGCTCACACTACTGGCCCATCCAAGCTGGCGCACTGAGCGGAGATTGAGAGCTTTCAACAACGGGAGACCGTTAGCCATGTTGTGCCAGGCATCCATCATACACTGGAGTTCTCATGTGGGAGGCTCCTGCGTCCTACTGGCCCTGGCAACCAATTCATTACCAATTCATACTGACAGGGAAATTAGAGTATGGAGTCCATTAAAAATAAATAAAAAGTGAGGGGTTTATAGTTTTACAGGGCTAAATTGATTCATCTGATCTGAGAGTAAAGAGGTGAGTGGCAAACTTCTGCTGCCCATCACACAGCCGAGCTGAGAGAAACTAGAAGAGGGATATTGAAGAGGACTAGCTGGATAAGCCCAGGTCCAGACTCCAGCACGTAGTTGTAAACAGTTATCACCTGTTTTATGGCAGGGTTGGATGGACACTTACAGTAGACTACATTATGATATGAAGCTACATTACAGTTGCTACAGTAAGTTGCTGCAGCCATGTAGGAGTTAGATGGGGAGTCTAACAGCAGGTAAATTCTGTGGGAAAGGGCGATGACAGCAAACATTTTCCTAGCTAGCTAAAGTACTGTGGGAGAGGGAACCAAAGGGCACTTTGGTAGCCAGGTTGTGTTTATTCTCTTCCAGGGCCATCATGGCCATCTGATGCAGGTCATAAAACACAGGCTGGGGAAAATAAACACTGATAACTCAAGAAGACGCCAGTGTGTGTGTGTGATTACACTATACTGGACCTATCTGTGTTGATCTGCACACTGATTACAGTATGAAAGTATAACTCACAGGTTGGTAAGTAATATCATAGCCTCTAATTTAACAGAAAGTTGTCTGAGTGTGTGTGTGTTGGGGGGGGGGGGGGGGGTGCTTGATTCTCTCTGCATCAATTCAACACATTCTCTCTGCATCAATTCAACACATTCCATTTTCACTTCAAACATTTCCACCTCCTCTCCCACGCAACCCCACTTTCACAGAGGTTAGCGCACTGTACACTACTCTCTACCATTCCTGCATGTCTCCATCTGGAAAGCAAGCCTGTTAGAGCTTTTGCCTCAGATAGGGGGAATCAGGGCTGCCTGTGCTGCCCGTCAGTGAGCGATAGCTGGTTGAGGACCCAGCATGACCAAGAGGATGCTGCCCTGCCAGGCTCTGTCACTAATACCTCCCCATTACCCACGGCCACAGGCTCACACACTGCTGCTGCAAATGGCTCTTCACCTAGAAGCTCCAGTCAGTCCCCCAGCGGCATGTCACTATCCATCACCCCACTGTTGCAGACTGACAGATGCCCTGATAGCCTCTCTAGCTGGCGGAAGGAGGGGATGTTAGGAAGTTGCTTCCTTCTAACATCCACAGCTATTTTGTTGAATGCCAACCATGCTGGAAGCCACAGCTGTATTGGGCTCCGCTCTGCTATCATGGAGCTTAATCAGGCAGGAATGTGACTGCTAGAAGCAGAGAGCTAAAGGCGGTTTGTTGGATGCAACAGAAATTACTTTCCTTAGGTGTGATTCTGAAACCCAAATTGGGCTTTTATTGAGTGAGATGTACTCTTTGGGCTAAAACTTGGGATATTGATCTGGATCTGGGTAATCATAGAGTTGAGCAGTAATAGCAGCAGGCCCTCTGAAAAGGAAAGTACATCCTTTATGTTCATATACAAAAGAGACATGAAAACTATTTTAGTTAATGCTTATGTAATTGGGGTGGTGGGGGCTGACATAAACATGTCCATTTATCTTCTTAGTGGCAGCGCTGCTCCCCATTTTCCTTTTGTCAGTGCCCCTTGTATAGCGTACAAGTATGACATTTAAGAAAAGTTATTCAAGTATTAAAAATGTATGCATCTGTGTTTGGTACTCATTAAAGCTGGGGTCTGTAATAAAGGAGACTGGATTAGTATTCCTCTCCATGGTCTCTATAAGTCAAGGGTATAGGGTGGTGCATGTTAAAGAGCCTGTACCTTCTCCCTCTGTTTGCACATCATCCATACCTAGAGGGACGATGGGCTGAGATGGGTGCAGGAGCACACGGACCAGCCTCTGTTGTTCGTCCCCCTTGATATTAGCCAAAGTCGTCTTCTAATCAACTTGCAAATCGTGGACGGGGAAGGTTACAGTAACACTGCACTCTCTCTCCTCGCTGCGGCGCTGATAAACCAGCCCCCATCAAAATTCCTGTCAGTTCCAGCAGGGCCGATACCCATGGCCTTATTCCAAGCTTACTCTGCTGCCGCTGCTGCTGCGATGATCATTTTAGCTCAGGAGGAAGTCGAATGCCCTTTCATAGTGCTTCTTGAACCGCCAGGAGAGACGCTTTTTTAATTACATGAAGTGGGAAGGAGAAGAAAAAAAACATTGAAAAAAGTATTCCCCACACATCCACGCTGAATGGACTGAGCCACTTGTTGTAGGAGTAGAGCTAACACGTTTTCAAAAATCAACTGGCATCACCAAAATAAAGAAAATTACAGCCCTGGTGTGTCTCAGGGGAATCTTAAACTGTGAACACAGCTCTCCATAGTGTTGTGGAAAGGCTGTGTGCATCTGTGCAGCATGTGAAAAAGTGCCTTTCCTGCCAGTGATGCCCAGCGCGGTCGAACAGTCCCATCATTAACCAGAACCATCCCGAGGCAGTCAGGATTCAAGTGGCCAGCTGATTGGCTCTGTGAGCTGCCCTTCCCCACCGCAGGCCTCAGCCCTTGACTCACAAAACCAAACTGGCCTCAACCCTGACCTGCACTCACACCACCACACTGGCCCATTAACCCCAACAACACATTCATCACTGATGGACTCCACTATCCAATCCCTGAAGAAAAAAACATCAAAAGAGATTTTGTTTTAATATCTGACAGCTTTACCTCACCAGTAAAACTCCCTGATCAGTCACACCACTAACCTTATATTACCTCCCAGCAGTAATTACACAAAGAAGAGTTCATATCAACTGATCTGGGAAGAGAGACAAACGAGACTTCCATTATGCTGGAGCGCCATTAAGCTGAGACAAAGAGCTGCATCTCTCACTCCTCTCTCATGCGCGCTGGGCCCAGTGCCCATCTAATTCATTTCTGATTAGAGTCACTGGGCAGCACTCCCACATCACACAGAGAGATAGGGGGACTCTTATCTCTGCCAACGATCAATACTTCCTCGTGGCGCCTCACCCTCACCTGCAGTCGAGGACAACACACCACACACACACACACAGGGCGAGGTCATCACCAAAGAGTGTTTTAACACATCAACTTTAATGGAGCAACGGAGCCGAGAGACACAGGGAAGAAGAGACTGCAGCCGGAGTGTTCCACAAGGGAACAACACACTGCTTCTCTAACAGCATGTTGCATGCCTGCCTGCCTTTGTGTGAGTCAGTGCATCATTTTGTGTGTGTGAGTGTGCCAAGTGCACCACCTAGTGGCCAGAGCCGGATCACAACACAGGAAGAGATCTGCACACAATGGAGCGGAGCAGAACGGTTTGACCCTTTTCTGGTCTTTTTTTCCTCAGATGACAAAAGCGATGCTGTTGAAGTATTGGCGCTGCAGGTACGTATGCTGCAGACTGTTGAGTCACCTCCTCCCTGGTTAATACTACTTGAGAAACAGGCCGGCCTTCCAGCAGAGGAGGAGAGGGTGGGGAGGTGGAGGGGGGGCAGTGAGCGGGCCCAGCACAGCGAGGAGTGTCTACTCTGACGTAGGTGAGAAATGTAAAGCAGCAAGGTTGTTCTGTTTCTGGTTCAAGGTGAACATGATTCTGCTTTCAATTAGCTCATCACTCAGGCTGCTGAGGCTTTAACATGGTGCAGCTTGCTAGAGGCCCACACACACACACAGCTGGGGAGATTAAAACAGCAGCAGTGTGATGGCCTGGGAAATTCAACCAAAGGCAATTTAGCCATATACACTGAGTGTACCAAATATTAGGAACACCTGCTGTTTCCATGACATAGACTGACCAGGTGAAAGCTATGATCCCTTATTGATGTCACCTGTTCAATCCACTTCAACCAGTGTAGATGTTAAAGTTAAAGAAGGATTTTTAAGCCTTGAGACAATTGAGACATGGATTGTGTATATGTGCCATTCAGAGGGTGAATGGGCAAGACAAAATATTTAAGTGCCTTTGAACGGGGTATGGTAGTAGGTGCCAGGCGCACCGGTTTGTATCAAGAACTGCAATGCTTCTGGGTTTTTCACGCTCAACAGTTGCCCGTGTGTATCAAGCACGGTCCACCACCCAAAGGACATCCAGCCAACAACAGGCAAGTGGTCGAAAAAAAACGGGTCATTGATGAAAGAGGACAGAGGAGGCTGACACTAATTGTGCAGAGCAACAGATGGGCTACAGTTAGTCAACTGACAGTCCAGTACAACATTGGTGCCCAAAGACCCATAAATGAATGCACAACTCGTCGTACCTTGACACGAATGGGGTATGGCAGCTGACAACCTTACAGAGTTCCACTTCTTTCAGCAAAAAACTAGAAACTGCGGTTGCATTGGGCTAAGGAACAAAAACACTGGATACTGCAAAAACATTGTCTGGTCTGAAGAACCCCGGTTCTTGCTGATGGGAGGACTAGGGAACGGAGAAAAACACGAGTACATGCATCCATCATGCCGCGTGTCAACATTGCAGGCTGGTGGTGGTAGTGTAATGGTGTGGGTTGTGTTTTCATGGCACACATTGGGCCCCTTGATAAAAATGAAGCAACATTTGAATGACACAGGATATCTGAACATTATTGCCAATCAGGTGCATACCTTCATGGCAGCAGTGTATCCAGCTGCAAATTGATCAGGATAATACCCAATGGCACAAGACTAGGATTGTCCAGGAATGGTTCCACGAACATGACAGTGAATTCAGCTTACTGCAGTGGCCTACCCAGTCACCAGATCTCAATCCAATTGAGCATCTGTGGGATGAGATGGAATGAGACATTGGAGTCAACATGGGCCAGCATCCCTGTGGAACGCTTTCGGCACCTTGTAGAGCAAAAGTGGGTGCAACTCATTATTAGGAAGGTGTTTCTATTGTTTTGTACACTCAGCATACAATTACACCCCATTAGAGAGCTAACAGCCTCACTTTTGGAATCTAACAATGAATGGGTTAATACAATTTAAAATAAACATAAAAATAAAAAATGATTCCCATTTAAAGGTTGAGAAACTGTCCCCAAATGCTCCCACACAACCTTCAAGACTCCTCCATAGTTGTTACACAAGGGGGACAGGTTTTACCATGCCCTGCACACAGTGGTATCAGCAGCACTTAATTCAATAATGGAGTGTGGGTTCATCATATCCCTCTCACTCAAAGTACTGAATGAGGATGGGCTTTTACCTTTGTTGAAGAACATGGAGGCCATTTGACCCATCTCAACCCTCTCCACAATGTCAAAGTGATCAACGTGTCCTCCTCCTGTTCGCTCTGTGATAATGCATAGACATGAGAACGCAGTGGTGAGTAATTCCAATCGGAGTGATTCTGATGTCATTCCTTCTATAAAACATTGCCATTAACCAATGACATATGGAGGATACATACAATTTATGATTGATCTGATCATGTCATAATCAGCATATGTTTAAGAATTGAGACCTTCAAAAAGCAGGGACACGAAAGGTAGAATTACGAATCCTCCACAAGACTCAATGTTTTCACAGATACACGACATGGCCAGAAGTATGTGGACACCCCTTAAAAATGAGTGGATTCTGCTATTTCAGCCACACTCGTTGCTAACAGGTGTATAGAATCGAGCACACAGCCATGCAATCACCATTGACAAACATTGGCAGTAGAACGGCCCGTACTGAAGAGCTCAGTACGGGCCATTCTCAACGTGGCACTGTCATAGGATGCCACCTTTCCAACAAGTCAGTTCGTCAAATTTCTGCCCTTCTAGAGCTGCCCGGTCAACTGTAAGTGCTGTAATTGTGAAGTGGAAACGTCTAGGAGCAACAACGACTCAGCCGTGGAGTGGTAGGTCAAACAAGATCACAGAACGGGACCGCCGAGTGCTGAAGCATGTAGCGTGTAAAAATCGTCTGTCCTCGGTTGTAACACTCACTACCGAGTTACAAACTGCCTCTGGAAGCAACGTCAGCACAATAACTATTCGTCAGGAGCTTCATGAAATGGGTTTCCATGGTCGAGCAGCCAAACATCACCATGCACCGGCTGGAGTGGTGTAAAGCTCGCCGACATTGGACTCTGGAGCAGTAGAAACGCATTCTCTGGAGTGATGAATCACGCTTCACCATCTGGCAGTCCGACAGACGAATCTGGGTTTGGCGGATGCCAGGAGAATGCTACCTGCTCAAATGCATAGTGCCAGGAGAAATAATGGTCTGGGGCTGTTTTCATGATTTGGGCTAGGCCCCTTAGTTCCAGTGAAGGCATATATTGACACTACAGCATACAATGAAATTCTAGACGATTCTGCGCTTCCAACTTTGTGGCAACAGTTTGGGGAAGGCCCTTTCCTGTTTCAGCATGACAATGCCCCCGTACACAAAGCGAGGTCCAAACAGAAATGGTTTGTCGAGATCGGTGTGGAAGAACTTGACTGGCCTGCACAGAGCCCTGACCTCACCACCATCGAACACCTTTGAGATTAATTGGAATGACTGCGAGTCAGGCCTAATCGCCCAACATCCGTGCCCGACCTCACTAATGCTTGTGGCTGAATGGCAGCAAGTCCCCGCAGCAATGTTCCAACATCTAGTGCAGGGTTCTTCAATTCCGGTCCTGGAGGGCCGAAACACTTCTGTTTTTTATTTCTATTAGTTAATTAGCCCCTGATTAGAAGGAGAGGATGAAAAACAGAGGTGTTTTGGCCCTCCAGGACCGGAATTGAAGAACCCTGATCTAGTGCAAAACCTTCCCAGAAGAGTGGAGGCTGTTATAGCAGTAAAGGAGGGACCAACTCCATATTAATGCCCATGATTTTGGAATGAGATGTTCGACGAGCAGGTGTCCACATACTTTTGACCACGTAGTGTACCTTATTTTCAACACATTTTTAACACGTCCTTAGTAGGGTGCATCTGTCTTTAGGAGGGATGAGTGGAACACTATACTCACGGACTGACAAAATGGGCCTCGTCTCTGGCTCTGATCGTCCCCGGACGAGAACATCATCATCCGAATAATCAGAGGTGGAGTCGCTGTCTTGGACCTGAAGATGATCGAAAGAGGATAAGCAGCCTGCCTCCACCCAACACTGACTTCACTCCTAATCTACAAGTCCTATTGCTCAGTGCCAACAAGTCAGTTTACAACCTATTAACACCGTGTTTTATTTGCTGTACATGCGAAGTGGAGGGGAGCAGCATCTGGAAATTGTCTGGAACAGCTGGGATATGCTGGGGAGGATGAGGGAGCTTTCCCTCTCATATACAATAGATATGAGCGCCTATCTGACGCCCTCCCATAACTCTTCATCTACCAAATTCACTACAGATTTATATTAATTAATGCTAAATTACAACCGACATTGAGGATGTCATTATCAGTTGAATTAACAAGAGCAGCTACAGCTGCTCTGGACAGGGTGTGGGGGAGACTAAGAAGTGGGTGGCTCACTGGAAGAGGATATGCCAGCAACAGAAACAAAGCATCTAACATCAAAGTGACAGATGTGGCCATGGCTGAGTCAAAAGAGCAGATCTATCCTATTTCTCCCTGACACATCCGAGAGATGCACAATCCACCCCATTTCAAACTAATACACTTTTATGGGACTTTCTCAGAAAATATTGCCCAGTAAAGAAACGGCTGAATATGCGCTTTCGTTAGAGCGGAGAGAAATAAAGAATGTTCAAGGGTAAACATTCCCACTCTGTGCCTCCCTTCTTCCCATTATGTGGGAGGAAATGTTGGAGGAAGGCTAAGTGAGCTATGAATCAAGGCCATGGGGGTTTGGGGCTCTGTCAAAGCCAGACTCAATGTCCTTACGCTCATAACTCCTCCAGTGGAAACCTTGGGCATTAGGCAAAATGACTTGCCGCTTTTCTGCTAAAAAGAAAATGAACTCCACCAGTTCCATCAATCTCTGCACGAGATGACGTTTCCCTTAGTATTTAAAATGACTAGAGTAACAATGATTAAAAACTAAATTGTCCCCCCAGTGAGTTAGTAGAGGACACTAAGTGAGTTAGTAGAAGACACATTTGTGGTAGTGGCAAGCGCTCCTTTCCCCATATTATTCTTTAATACTCTATTGAGCGCCTTGAGGTTATTCTTCCTGTAAGGTGTTGAGGTTGAAGGGGTAGTGTCCTCTAAAGAATCTGGCCTTCACTTGATGGGTGGGGATCACTGGAAAAGACAGTATGTATGAGTGTCGACTATCACTCTTCCTCCTGTTGGTTCTTTATATCTGCTAACTCACCTCTTCCTGCTCCCTCCTCTTCCAGCGCAGCTGAGCGTTGGCCGCTGCCATGGCCTCGATCACAAACGTAGTGGTCATGTAACTGATGAAAATCAGACAGAAAAATATATTCAGATCACAGATATGATGACAGAAACTAGCCCTGTAGAGTCTAAACATATTCCATACTGAGCATAACATTTTTTGGAAAATGTACAAGTGTATGGTCCTCTGTAGCTCACTTGGTAGAGCATGGCGCTTGTAACGCCAGGGTAGTGGGTTTGATCCCCGGGACCACCCATACGTAAAAATGTATGCACACATGACTGTAAGTCGCTTTGGATAAAAGCGTCTGCTAAATGGCTATTTTATTTTATTTTCAACAACTGTCTTAGAATATCACTGTGTTGCATTTGTTGTAGTCTGTGACCTTGGCTAACTGCACACTATCCTTGGTGATAAAATAGGATCTCAACCATCTAAAAACAAAGCAATTAAAAAACATGAAACTGTTAAAAGGCACAGAGCATTCCGCATCACAAAGCTCATGTACTTGCCACTGATCTGCATCCCTCCATGTGTCCACTGACTCCCCTCTCTCACCATACACTACCCTAATGAAACACATCCTGCATCATAAACTGCCTCCTGCTGCCTGACACACTGCATCAACTCATCTGCAACGCATCCTGCTCTGATTGTTCCCTGCTAGATTACTGACACGCCTCAGTGGTGGCATCCCATTTGATAGGGAGGGCAATAACTCTCCACTTAGGTGGCTGGGAGGACCTTAGGTGTGGACGATAAGGATGAAATATGGTAAATTACTCCTGCGCTACGGTGTGCTTAAACTAAAGTGAGAGCTGGGGAAGTGGACGTAAGGCAACAGTTGTGGAAATGAATGGAAAGGCAGTGAGCCAATGAGGAACTCGCCTCATAAACGCCAGGAAGGAGATGAGCACCAGGCTGACCGCCCAACCTGCTTGGGCAAAGGCCTTGGGCATCGTCAGTGCCCCCGTGCCCACGATCAGATTAAACATGTACACCAAGCCCACCTGCAAAGACACAGAACAAGAAGTAAGACCAAGGGAGTGCTCGATTAGAGGGTGTCGTTGTCTTGGGGGTCCACAAGAGGCCAGTACGTCTGGAAGCTCCTGTTCCTCCCCTCCCCTTCACTTAACATAACACCACACTCTGGTCAAGGGAGTGAAGTTTGAACCCTGGAAATCATGGGACAGTTTAGCACGGGTGTAAAGAAAAACATGCTGACCTAACATTGCCAAGTTGCAACGCACTGGTCAACTGAAGACATTATCTTTATCTTATTCAAACACTGTCCTCAGCTGTGGACTATTATAGTCCCTGGCCCATGTAGCAGTAAAGACGTATGGCTGGACACCGTGACATACAGAGAGACCAGTGAACAGAAGGTCCGCTCACTAAAAAGCCCTTATCCCTATCCATTCCTTCAGAGCATTAATATTTTCATCTAGAAAAGGGCACTTTAACCACAAGACAACTAGCCTAAACCAGCAGAAGCTGGACACAGCCATGCTGATATCAGTCACTGTAGAAACTTGTGACATACCTAGACAGGCCTCACAATAAAGCTTTGCTAAGCAGAATTTATTGCTTGGGTTGGGTCATCAACGTTCACCATAACGGTAGCCTTTTTGAGTGCCTAAGCATTCCTACTTCCTCTTTTCAGTGTCCTGACTAGATGAGTAACCAGCGTACGTGCTCCCCGTAAAATGTCTGTTCTACATCACATCACTATTTTATCATTTAAAGTTTTATTAAGTTCTTGTTTTTCAAATCAACAAACAAAACACATTCTACATTCACAGATGTGGCAGACATAAATTATAGAATAAATAAATATAAAACAAACAAATTTGCAGCAGCACTATCTGTGATCGTGTTAGCTATTTCCAGCATTAGCTGAGACAACATGCAAAGAATTAGCTTTACAGCACCTTACACATTATGTATACACACACACACACACACACTTCCTTAAATCACCCCATTCACTCTGTCCAGTTTGAAATACAGTTGAGTAGTGGAGACCAGAGTCTATCAAACCTGGGATGTCTCTTGCGGAGGTCATAAGTGAGCTTTTCAAGAGGAAGAAAGTCAACAATCTGGTCAATCCACATTTTAAAATGTAGGGAGGAATTAGAAACCCACAGAAGGAGAATACATTGTACATTGAGAATACATTGTCTAGCAAAGAACAAAGTCCTGCTGAACATTAAGAAGATAGAGACACAGGGTCATATCAAACTGGACATCTAATATTTTCTGTGCAGCAGTATGTATAGATTACCTGATTTTGGCGATCTCTCTACAACTCCAAAATACATGCATATAAATTCCACTTTCAGAGGTACATCTTTTACAATATGGAGAAATGTCTGTATTGATTCTATGGAGTCTCACTGGGGTGTAATACAATTTGTACAAACATTTGTAATTAGATTCTTTCATTTTTATATTAGTAGAGGAGCAGCATACCCTGTCGAAAATCTCCACCCATAACTCATCACTGATAATCAGAGGTCCTTTTCCCAGATTATTTCCAAAGGAGTAAAGGAAGAACCCACATTCTCAGATAGGAGTCTATAGATATTGGAGATTTCGCTTTTGATGAATTGTGCTGTAGCAAGAAGGATCTCAACTTCATTGAGCTGAGCTCTAAACCTCCTCTTGGAAGTGAATGAGGAAATTACATGTCTAATTTCAAGATAAAAAATTAAATTAAATAAAAGGTTGGCACATTGAATTCACTGGAGAGCTCTTGAAAGGATTTCAGTGTAGTTGCGTTCTGATGAAACAGGTATGAAAAGGTCCTGATCCCTAGAGTATGCCAAAGATGAAAGTTGGCAACACTCAGGGCCTTTGGCAAGTCTGGGTTGCATACTATAGGCGAGTGAGAGCATATCTGGGAGGAAATGCCAAGGTACTTCGTGCAGTCCTTCCATGCTAGTAGGGTGTTATAATTCAAAGGTTTTGGGTATGTTGCCCACTTCACTAAAGTAATTAATGAATATAACTGCGCTTAGGGGCAATGAACCACAGGATTGGGCCTCTATCTGAATCCACATTGAGTCTTGTCTGTTTGTGATCCATGTTAGCATGTTGCTGATTTGGGCAGACCAGTAGTACAACTGAAGGCAGGGAAGGGCAAGACCACCCTTAGATTTAGGTTTGGATAGAGTGGAGAACTTGATCTTAGGTTTTTTATTGCCCCATATAAATTTGGTGATGCTTTGGTTGGTTGTTTTGAAAAAATAAACTGGGAGATAGCATGGAACCATCAGAAATAAATAGTTCAATCTAGGGAGGATGTTCATACGGATAACATTGATTCTTCTGACTAAGCTAATTGGGAGGGAGATCCAGGTTCGGAGGTCATTCTTGATTCGATACAGGAGTGGGAGATAGTTTTCCTTGAAAAGGCAATTCAGATCTGGTGTTACAAAGATCCCAAGGTATTGAAACCCTGTGTCTTCCATTGGAATGGGCAGAGTGTCTTCATGAGTGTAAGATTGAGAGGGCAAACAATGGGTTTATTCAAATTGATCTTATATCCTGAAAACTTGTCGTACTGAGCAATTGTGTCTAAAATGGAAGGGAGGGATTTCTCAGGGTTGGATATGTAGAGCAAGACATCATCCGCGTAGAGCGAAATCTTGTGCTGAAGGCCGCCTGCGGAAACACCCATAATACTTGGATTGCTCCTTATCAACTCCGCCAAAGGCTCCGCCCCCAATAAGTAGAGCAGAAGGGACAGCGAGCATCCTTGTCTTGTACCACATCCCAAAGAGAATCTCTTAAGAGTTCAGACCAATAGTAGACACCATGGCATTTGGATGAGAATATAGGGACTTAATCCATTGAATAAAGTTTAGGCCCATATTGAACTTTTCTAAGACTGAGAACAGAAAGCTCCACTCCATCCTGTCGAACGCTTTCTCAGCATCCAGTGAAGCCAGCAGGACGGGGTCTTCTGTGCATTTACTTGATCTATAATATCAAAAAGACAGCGAATGTTATCAGAAGAGTACCCGTCTCTAATAAATCCAGTTTGGTCCGCTTTTATTATTTGGGAAGAAGAGTGTTCAGTCTCGTCAAGCAATTTGGTAATTATTTTGTAGTCGAAGTCCAACAAGCTTATGGGCCGGAAGGACGAGCAGGAGATAAGATCCTTGTCTTCTTTGAGCAACACTGTAATGCGGGCTGTGTACATAGTCTGGGAGAGCTCAGTTTTCAAAAAAAGTATCCAGCATTGGCATGAAAATAGGGTTAAGCTGTGGCCAAAAAGTTTTGTAGAACTCTGAGAAATCCGTCTGGGCCTGGGGATTTGTTAGGTGGCATGGAGATAATTGCCTCTAAGACCTCCTCGGGAGTGAAAGATCTTCTTGGTCGGTCTCTGATAGTCTAGGAAGTAATGGAGTTCTGCATCTGCATGTTCTCTCTCAGAAGCATATAATTTGCAGTAAAAATGATGAAAAGTTACATTTATCTTATTTGGATCATATGTGACCTCGTCACCTTCTGTTCGGATGGCCATGATTGTACGCTCTGACTACTCTTTTTTTAATTGGTATGCAAGCAAACTGCTAGGCCTATTGCTATACTCATGATATTTCTGTTAGGTAAAGAAAACTAATTTTTTTCTTCTCTCTCGAGTATAGTCCAAGTTTAGTTGCTCCTACCAAGTGGCGTGGCGAGAAGCTGTCTCCGCACCACGTGCTCTCACCACTGGTGTCCCCCAGGGCTCAGTTCTAGGCCCTCTCCTTTTCTCCCTATACACCAAGTCACTTGGCTCTGTCATATCCTCACATGGCCTCTCCTATCATTGCTACGCTGACGATACACAACTAATCTTCTCCTTTCCCCCTTCTGATAACCAGGTGGCGAATCGCATCTCTGCATGTCTGGCCGACATATCAGTATGGATGACGGATCACCACCTCAAGCTGAACCCTGGCAAGACGGAGCTGCTCTTCCTCCCGGGGAAGGACTGGCCGTTCCATGATCTCGCCATCCCGGTTGACAACTCCGTTGTGTCCTCCTCCCAGAGTGCGAAGAGCCTTGGCGTGACCCTGGACAACACCCTGTCGTTCTCCGCTAACATCAAGGCGGTGACCCGATCCTGCAGGTTCATGCTCTACAACATTCGGAGAGTACCGACCCTGCCTTACACAGGAAGCGGCACAGGTCCTAATCCAGGCACTTGTCATCTCCCGTCTGGATTACTGCAACTCGCTGTTGGCTGGGCTCCCTGCCTGTGCCATTAAACCCCTACAACTCATCCAGAATGCCGCAGCCCGTCTGGTGTTCAACTTTCCCAAGTTCTCTCACGTCACCCCCCTCCTCCGCACACTCCACTGGCTTCCAGTTGAAGCTCGCATCCGTTACAAGACCATGGTGTTTGCCTATGGAGCAGTGAGGGGAACGGCACCTCCGTACCTTCAGGCTCTGATCAGTCCCTACACCCAAACGAGGGCATTGCATTCATCCACCTCTGGCCTGCTGGCTCCCCTTCCTCTGCGGAAGCATAGTTCCCGCTCAGCCCAGTCAAAACTGTTCGCTGCTCTGGCACCCCAATGGTGGAACAAGCTCCCTCACGACGCCAGGACAGCGGAGTCACTCACCACCTTCCGGAGACATTTCAAACCCCACCTCTTTAAGGAACACCTGGGATAGGATAAAGTAATCCTTCTACCCCCCCCCAATTTTTTTTAAAAATTATAATTGTAAAGTGGTTATCCCACTGGCTATAGGGTGAATGCACCAATTTGTAGTCGCTCTGGATAAGAGCGTCTGCTAAATGACGTAAATGTGCCCTTGAGCAAGGCACTTAACCCTAATTGGGCTCCCGAGTGGCGCAGTGGTCTAAGTTGGCTTTTGGCTGGCTTTAAGTTGACTCCAGGAGGCGCTGTCTGGGGATTGTTTATGTACTTCCAGCTCCTTCTCAAGCTCTAACCTGTGTGCTTCCGTTGCTTTTTTCTTAGAGGAAACATATGCAATCAGATGACCTCTTAGGGTGGCTTTGGCACCGTCTCACATTGTGGCCAGAGAAACAGGAGAGTCTGTTGTCTTGTGTGTAGTTGTCTATCCATGTATTGACCAATGTATGGAATGCTTCATTTGATAGCATGGAGGTGTTGAATTTACAGCTCTTTGACCTGGGGATGTTTTTACAGAGGTCAAAGCGGAGGCGGACAAAGGCGTGATCTGAAAGTGCTATGGGTCCGATTTTACAAGTGGCAAAATGTATGAACATTTTCAGGATAAAAATGTAATCTATACGAGAGTAGGTGCACATCACTATTTTAAATAGTTTTGTCACATTGTGTGGACTTTGGACTCATGCAGGTTACTTGAACTAATTTAGCCTAGATCATTTTGCAGCAGATGCTATCCATTCTACCTTGGTCAACCTCTCTTCAGAATGTACAGCACACTTAAAAGTTACATCACGAAATTTCGATTTGAAATCTTTTGGACATCAGAGCAACCTTGAGGGAATCTTATTTGAGTAAGAAAAGGATGTTCATATGATAGGGAAGATATAAAACCTGGCAGAGACCATATCTAACTGACAATCTCTTAGAAAAAAAACTATTGGAACCCAGACATATAAAAAATAACTGATGTTGGTACAAGATGGAGAGAAGGTTGGAGCATAACTAATGACATTACAGTTAACGGACAATTACGCTTAATCCAATATAAACTAATGTATAGAATGTATTATACAAGAGACTAAATTCACAAATTCTACAGCACATTGGCAGAGTCATGTCTTAAGTGTAAAACTAATAATGACTCATTAATCCATGCTTTCTGGGAATTATATAAAGTCTGGAAGTTGTGGGCGGAGATAGAAAGTTGACTGTCAGAAGTATTACAATGTAAACTTACTACATATTTCAAGACATGGTATATGGGGGTGTAGTGAGATACCCAATGGGCTGGACAATTCTCTTCTCATCACTCAAAACTTTCTCTAAAAACGTGGAAATCAAATCAATCCGCCATCATTAACACAATTGAAAAATCTAATGATTTATTCTTGAAATATTGAAATAGCATGGGCAACCGAGAAAAACAAATTGATACAATTTCAGGCACTATGGCAAACAATAATACAGGCACTAGGGATGAGGGTGTGAGCATGCGGGTCTGGGCAGATTAGATGTAGTCATTGTTTGTGTGGGTCTGGAACTTGTTGTTTGTATGTATAAATTTGTGTATGGAGTGACATTTTCTGGGAGGGAAATAATATTGTAAAATAAAAAATTAAGCACACCAAATACCTGACATGAAACAGTAGGGAGAATGAGCATGTCACTGCGAAGTCTGATACAGATACTCACATATGGGGAGTAGAGCTCCCCTGTCTCTGTGATGCCTCCTGCCATGATGGGCACCAATACTGGAGATCACAACCTGGAAGATACAGTAATGGCTCATCCTAAATGAAGTTGTTCACAAAACTGTGTCCTACCAATCACAATGTTTCACTTTCATAGATACCACTTTTATACAAATCTAGTTGACTGCAGAACACCTTGTGAGAAAGCAGATAGTTAGCTAGCTAGCTGGCACTGATAACTCTTCCATGCCATCACACTAGTGATGCATTGTCTTGAGTAGTTGGCTAAGGCCATTATATCTGCTGCTATGTGGCATCAATTTATTGCACTCACTAGATAACGTTAACTACGCTAGCAAGTTAGCTAGCGTTAGCTAGCTAAACAACCTGCCCTAACTGAGCTACAGCAGTAAGTAGCTAGCTCTGTCTAGACACATTCTCGAGTGTTACGTTAACGTTACTGTAGCTAGTAGGAGAATGTGTACTGTAGCTAGATTTAGTAAGAGCGTTGAGCTGGTTATCTAGCTAAGTTTATCTCTAAAAATAGTTTTCAAGCATTTGTAACAGTATTAACAAAGTCAAAGTAAGATGTAAACAACACGCACCTGCGTTTCAGTGAATCCTTTTCAGTGTAATTAAACCAGAAAGCTAGCTAGCTAGCTAAATTTCAAGCCAACGGGACAGCGAATGGCATGTCAATGCGATTCATAGCTAACTCATGCAGAAAATAAATATGGCTCGGCCAATAACTTTATATTTGCATTCTTCTATCTCATGCACACCCAATGACTGTGTGCACACCAGGGGTGTAATCAATAGCCAAACAGTTGCAAAACAAGAGTTTCTATTGGACAAATTAAGGTAGGTCCCTCCCGTTTCGTTGGCTTCCGATAAATACATGTTTTGCAACTGAATTTGCGTAATGAATATATCGTTAAAATTAATGAAAACAAAAATGTGTTTTTGGTCTTAATTTGAGGTTAGCATTGTGGTTAGGGTTAAAATCACAGTTTTTAAATAACAATTTTAAGGGTTTATGACTTTAACTAGTATCTAGTAGGTCACGAGACGACAAAAAGTCTGAACTCTGACCGCCACGGTGAGTCATATCAAAGATTTAGGATATATTGACAAGATACATGTCTCTCCGCCCTAGCGGACTATTTTCTTTGGATTGGTGGACACATCTAATGATTGTAATCCAAATTTTAATATTTGATGACGGTAGTTGACGTCAAACGCATGTATTCAATGGAGAGATATGCAATTGTCGCGTTCAAAACAACTGGGAACTCGTAAATCTCCGACTTCAGTGCGTTCAAACAACTGGCAATTCGGGGAAAAAACGAGCTCCGACTGGGAAAAATCGATTTGAACGGTCATCCAACTTTGAATTCGAACCTCTTTCTAGAGCTCCGACCTGAAAATCGTCATGATTTGACCTCGTATTTTTCCGTTGTTTTGAATGCTGCATAAACTAGACTCGTCATGTCATGAATACGCATAGCCATCTCGAGACAACTCCTATATAAGGTGTTTTTTCTCAACGTTGCCGGGATGTCATGTGTCCTACTTATATCAGTACACTGGTAACAACTTAAGCATTACACAACTAATCCATTAATTATTTTGTTGACCAAATTCGACACTCTCATTGGTGGGCGAAACAACGAAAAAACGCCTCCTGCTGGAGGGAGACTGATTTTCCGCCGAGTTGGGCCTCTAAGCTTCCTCTCTGGTCATACAGGAAGCATCAGATCCTAGTCAAAGATATCCCGTTCTTATAATGGGAAACATCAACGACAGTACAGTATGAAGATAGGCTAAAACTGAAATTCCCGATCACACTTGTAGGCGATGTCATGGCGAAGTTGGTAAACTACGATCATGCGTAGAAACACGTAATCGGGTCTAACGGTCGTCTTGCGCCGAACTGCGCATGTGCAAGGCATATATAACCTTGTATATAAAGTTGTTTTTGACGAAAATGAAAACGTGTCAGTTTGTTACTCTCACGAGGTTGTAGTAATAACAAGTTCAGCTACTTAAGACATTGGCTCGAATCTACGTTGTGCCTTTAGATTTCGAGAAAATTAACAACTAAGAAGCATTTTTCACTTCTCTCATTGACTTTTCAAACCTCAAACCTCTGTTTCGCAAGCGTTCCTGGAAGTCTCGCGATGTTGCGCTTCTGGGTTTAGAAACTCTGTTGAAATATTATTTACATCAATCAATTTTCAATCAATTTTATTTTATATAGCCCTTCTTACATCAGCTAATATCTCGAAGTGCTGTACAGAAACCCAGCCTAAAACCCCAAACAGCTAGTAATGCAGGTGTAGAAGCACGGTGGCTAGGAAAAACTCCCTAGAAAGGCGAAAACCTAGGAAGAAACCTAGAGAGGAACCAGGCTATGAGGGGTGGCCAGTCCTCTTCTGGCTGTGCCGGGTGGAGATTATAACAGAACCATGCCAAGATGTTCAAAAATGTTCATAAGTGACAAGCATGGTCAAATAATAATCAGGAATAAATCTCAGTTGGCTTTTCATAGCCGATCATTAAGAGTTGAAAACAGCAGGTCTGGGACAGGTAGGGGTTCCATAACCGCAGGCAGAACAGTTGAAACTGGAATAGCAGCAAGGCCAGGCGGACTGGGGACAGCAAGGAGTCACCACGGCCGGTAGTCCCGACGTATGGTCCTAGGGCTCAGGTCTCTCAGTTGGCTTTTCATAGCCGATCATTAAGAGTTGAAAACAGCAGGTCTGGGACAGGTAGGGGTTTCGTAGCCGCAGGCAGAACAGTTGAAACTGGAATAGCAGCAAGGCCAGGCGGACTGGGGACAGCAAGGTGTCATCATGCCCGGTAGTCCTGACGTATGGTCCTAGGGCTCAGGTTCTCAGAGAGAAAGAGAGAACGAGAGAATTAGAGAGAGCATACTTAAATTCACACAGGACACTGGATAAGACAGGAGAAGTACTCCAGGTATAACCAACTAAACCCAGCCCCCCGACACATAAACTACTGCAGCATAAATACTGGAGGCTGAGACAGGAGCGGTCCGGAGACACTGTGGCCCCATCCGAAGAAACCCCCGGACAGGGCCAAACAGGAAGGATATAACCCCACCCACTCCGCCAAAGCACAGCCCCCGCACCACTAGAGGGATATCCCCAACCACCAACTTACAATCCTGAGACAAGGCCGAGTATAGCCCACAGAGGTCTCCACCACAGCACAAACCAAGGGGGGGGCGCCAACCCAGACAGGAAGATCACGTCAGTAACTCAACCCACTCAAGTGACGCACCCCTCCCAGGGACGGCATGAAAGAGCACCAGCAAGCCAGTGACTCAGCCCCTGCAACAGGGTTAGAGGCAGAGAACCCCAGTGGAGAGGGGAACCGGCCTGGCAGAGACAGCAAGGGCTGTTCGTTGCTCCAGCCTTTCCGTTCACCTTCACACTCCTGGGCCAGACTACACTCAATCATATGACCTACTGAAGAGATAAGTCTTCAGTAAAGACTTAAAGGTTGAGACCGAGTCTGCGTCTCTCACATGGGTAGGCAGACTGTTCCATAAAAATGGAGATCTATAGGAGAAAGCCCTGCCTCCCGCTGTTTGCTTAGAAATTCTAGGGACAATTAGGAGGCCTGCGTCTTGTGACCGTAGCGTACGTATTGGTATGTACGGCAGGACCAACTCGGAAAGATAGGTAGGAGCAAGCCCATGTAACGCTTTATAGGTTAACAGTAAAACCTTGAAATCAGCCCTTGCCTTAACAGGAAGCCAGTGTAGGGAAGCTAGCACTGGAGTAATATGATCAAATTTCTTGGTTCTAGTCAGGATTCTAGCAGCCGTATTTAGCACTAACTGAAGTTTATTTAGTGCTTTATCCGGGTAGCCGGAAAATAGAGCATTGCAGTAGTCTAACCTAGAAGTAACAAATGCATGGATTAATTTTTCTGCATCATTTTTGGACAGAAAATTTCTGATTTTTGCAATGGAATATGTGATGTTCTTTTTGCAAAAAAAAAAAAAAAAATCTGATTTTTGCAATGGAATATGTGATGTTCTTTTTGCAAAAAGGACTACTGCAATGCTCTATTTTGTATACAGATGTCCATCTGAGTTGAGCAGCTGGCCAACAAGTAAAATGGCACTTCCATACCGAAGTGACTTATTTATTTATTATTATTATAATTTTATTGAAATTCCATACATTTTCAAGGATACAAATTCAAATGTGTTACAAAAATCTATACATCCTACTTAAAAATGGTAACACAAAACATCACAAACAAACAGATAAACACAAAAACAGAAACAAATAGAGGGTTTTTACAGACAAATAAATGTGAAAAGCTTAAGAATATCAATTGATTTCATTACCTTATTAATCTTACAGAGCATAGTATTCAATGTGGTAAAGTAATTATTTGAATCTACCTTTAAAAATATTGAACAGGATGTTTTTTTACTTTAAAAAAATACATTTTATGGATGTAATATTTAGCAAGAATTATAATCAAATTCATCACATACTTTTAGTGGAGAATCTTGGACTATCAAAAGCAAAAAGAACATCACTTGCAGATGGATGTTCCGACCAATTATTTTACCCAAGTCCAGCCGAAGATCCACCCAGAACACAGTCACATACACACATTGGAAAACAAATGCCGAAGTGATTCTGTCCCAGACTGACTAAATCCATCTGGTATTGCTTTACACACCATTTCATATTCCTTTGGTGAGACAGGGAGCTGATATATTCTTAAAAAGTAATTGTATGTATACAGATGTCCATCTGAGTTGAGCAGCTGGCCAACAAGTAAAATGTCCTTTCTGAACAAATGTTATAAAAACAGTGACTTGTTTTTATATTTTATGACAATACTATTCCATATAACATACTTATGAAGGGGAAAATTATGTTTGCATAGAAGGGACCAATAATTAAGCATTTGTTCGTATAAATCAGCCAGTTTACAGGATGTTTTTCAACTACATAAGGACACTGCAAAAGGAAACTTAAACCACCAAATGTA